GGCTTAGGGTTTAGGTTTAGGGTTCAAGCTGCCACAAAGAGCCTTCGGGTTAGGGAACTACTTGAACGTTTTGGGTTTCTATATGAACGGCAATAAGGAGGCTAAAAGTCTAACTTGTAGGAGGGGTTCAGAAGTCAGCCAAGAGAATGCCAATGTTTGTTTGCCATGTAGGTTTGCCCAGGATTTCAATACGGCTCTACTACGATTTCCCAGGGTTCAGAAAGGGGTTGTGTAAGGTAGGAGCAGCTCGGGTGCTGATGCGCGTACACATAGAGATTCCTATCAATGTTAGTGTGTATTTGGGGGTCTTTCGTTGGAGAAGCTCTTTTTTTCCTGACAAGGATTAGGACGGTGCACGTCAGGGAGTCAAGCATTTGATATGCTGCTGGGTTCAGCATGTGTCCTGGGGTTCAAGATCAGATCTTTCATGCAAGAGACATCTTTAACAAAGTTCAGATCCTACAGCATCCTAAAACTTAGGGGTACTTAGAAACAATTTTTATTATTTGGCTACTATAAACCCGAAGAAGCAGCTAAAATTGTATTTTTTTGCTAGGGGTCTAAGTTCGGTATAGAAAAGCCGTCTCAAGCTTTCTTTCATGTACAAACCCTAAACCCTAAAGCCTAAAACCTAAACCCCTAAACCTGTCATCTACAAAACCTCCGTTGCTCTGCGGCCCAGGAGCATGGGGGCTTAGACTGGCTGCAAGACTTCTGGACCGCTTGCCGTTTTTGCGGGCCTCAGCCCCTTGAGGGTTGAGGGTTTAGGGTTTAGGGTTTAGGGTCTAGGGTTTAGGGTTTAGGGTTTAGGGTTTAGGAGCTAGTCGTTAAGGCTTTAAGGCTCAGGATGTGCATCATTATAGGCAATTTCGGAAGTTAAGGCATCACTTGCATATCCTAGGCCCTTGGTGGTGTAAACTTGCGTAATGATCCCTAAGGATCCATGTACCCAAATAGTATATACATTGGCCCTAAAGTACTTATATAGGGACTACATTCAGGCCAAAGTATATACTATTTGGGTACATGGACCGTTAGGGGATAGTCGTCGTAGCAGGCCGCCTTGCAACGAGTTGCAAAGTCCTATTCGGACCTTACAGTCGTAACTGGAACAGCTATTATTATTACCCGTTTAGGGTTTAGGGTTTTAGGGTTTAGGGTTTAGGGTTTAGGGTCCAAGTACCTAATTATCATATCCTCTCCCAAATAGTAGCCTACATAACTACTATCCGAAACCTAAGTACCTGATTATTGGGTCCTTTGGACTCTAGGGGTTGACCTTAGACCCTAAGCCCTGCTGTGCAGGAGCTCCGAGGTTAGGGTACCACACGTCACGCAACGAAAGCGATTCATCATACACCGCGCCACACTATCTTCTGAAGAGACCCCGAACCCTACAAAAACAGTAGGTTCTGGCCCCTTCATTAGAGGGTGGAACCCCTTGAAAAAGTAGGTTATAGGATCCCCAGTTATTATTTATGAAGAACTCCGTGGTCTGTAACATCCAAAAGCCGACACCGTTTCAAAACCTTAAACCCGAAAGCCCATTCACGCCTACAACCTAAACTTTAAACCTTTTTTTTTGGGTGTAGGGACCTAACCCCCCGTTTGGGGGCAAAATAATAGCCCGAAGCCTATAAAAGGCTATCGTCCAACACACTTTAGGGGTCCAGGTAAGCCCCAAAAACCCCAAAACCCAAAGCTCAAACCCTAAACCCCTAAACCCCCAAACCCCCAAACCCTAAATCCCCCTTAATCCCTAAATCCCTACATCCCTGAATCCCTAAAGATCGGAAGCCCCCGAAGTTGATCAGGAGCACGATTCTCCTGGGCACTCCCACCGCAGTGTGCAAGACTTTGGCACTCAGGCCGTTTTGGGGTTTGGGGGTTTAGGGGGTTGAAGGTCTAGGCTTTAGGGTTTAGGCTTTAGGCTTTGGGGCTTTGGGATTTAGGGTTTAGGGCTTAGGGTTTGGGGTTTAGGGTCTTGGCTTTAGAGTTTGGTCTAGAACATTTTCAGGTGGCTAGTTACCGTTATAGGAGCCTTATAGAAGGTCTTTATACCGAATGGAAGCATTATAGCAGCCTAACTACCCTAAACTCCCCACCTGTAGTTTCCTTTACTTTGGGAACCCTAAACCCTCAACCCTAAACCCTAAACCCTAAACCCTAAACCCTAAACTTTACTTTGGGGTTTAGGGTTTAGAAAGTTTGTTGAGCTTGGAGTCCCTCCCGTCTACCCTCTGCAGGGATCTAACCCCAAACCCTACACCCCACGGTTTAGGGTTTTAGGGTTTATGGTTTAGGGTTTAGGGTTTAGGGTTTAGGGTAAAAACAAAAAAGCAACAGACACAAACCCAACCGACCCAAACCGTGCTTACCTTTGAAAGTTTATGCTGAGGTGCTTCGCTGGCATCCCATCTGAGGGGGGTTTCAGCACTAAGTCTTGGAGATTGAGGGTTTAGGGTTTAGGGTTTAGGGTTTAGGGTTTAGGGGTGTAGGGTCTCGAGCAAACCCGGAAGGTTGGTTTAGGGTCTAGGGGCTTTAGGGTTTCAGGGTTGAGGGTTTAGGGATTAGGAGCTGGATCAAGGACAAACAGTGCTGGGATTCCCTGTGCATTATTCATAAGGTTTGAGGCTATTGGGTTTCAAACGTGTGGGCTTCTACTACAAACCCCAAACCTCCAAACCCTAAATCCCAAACCCTAAACCCTAAACCCCAAACCCTAAGCCCTAGGCCCCGGAGAAAGTAACCTGAAACTGTCGTCCGACCTTTGTCTCAGGGTTACTGTAAGGTTTCATATGGGTAGTTGTCAAAATTATGGTCCCTTTTGGGGTACCCTAAATAATAGGTGCCGTATCATAATAAGGACCCCAAAAAGGACCATAATTTTGACAACCACCCATATGAGAGTTCTATGATCTAGTGGCCTTAAGAAGCTTCATTTGGGGTTTAGGGTTAAGAAGTATGGTTTAGGGTTTAGGGTTTAGGGTTTAGGGTGTGGGGCAGGGTTTAGCGGGGTAAGCTTAGTCACAGGCCAGGACATCTGAAAGACATGGCACAGAACGGATCATGACCCACGGAGTAGGGGGTATATTGGGTCTTCACGGAGGTGTTTCTGCGGGCCGATTGGGAAAAATCCGGAAAGATGTACGGGAGTTTCCGAAAATTAGGGGGTACCTTATTTTGGGGTTCTTATATTAAGGATCCTATGATCTAGGGTACTATATTAGGGTCCCCTATTTTCAGAAACCCCCATACTAAGCGCACTTCCATACTTGAAGGTATCCTGCCTAATGAAGGAGGCTTTGTCCCTAAACCCTAAACCCTAAACCCCTAAACCCTAAACCCTAAACCCTAAACCCTAAACCCCTAAACCGACTGTCTGTCTGCGCAGGTCTCTTGGAAACTGGGTGAGCGTCTTCAATCGCTGGCAAGAGATCGGCAAGTGGGTTCCCGGTCAGGCACCGGGTTCATGTGGGCGGTGGTGGGGGGTGGCCTAAACCCTAAACCCTAAACCCTAATAATTCCTAAACCCTAAACTCTAAACCCTAAACCCTAATAATTCCTAAACTAAACGCAGGGGCTCGCTGGGGTTTAGGCTAAGGGTTGAGGTGCGTAGTGTTTCGCGTTTAGGTTGCGGTGAAGGGCCTGGGGGTTTGCAGGCAATTGATGCGGCTCATAGGGTTTAGGGTTTAGGGTTTAGGGTTTAGGGCTTTGGGAGACTGTTCTGGGAAAGGTCTAGGGATTAGAGTTTAGGGTTTAGCTTTTGTTTGACAAGGGCTTTGACTTGAGCTGACCATGTAGGCTTAGGGCGCGTTTCCAATGATGTTTGCAGGGCTTGGCGCCCAGCTTGGCACAGTGTTCTTGCCCTGGAGGATCTCAGAGAGAAGATTTTAAATTTTGGAGAAACTCCATCCCCCTTAGCCCTAAACCCTAAACCCGACACCCTAAACCGTAAACCCTATACATCTTAGCAAACAAAATATTTAAAAACCTTCCAGTCGGAGAGTATCCTGAGTTTCTAGGTAGCACGATTCGTGCCCAAGGTTTGGGTCAAGGGCCACCCGCAAACCCCCTCACATGTCAAGGCTATGGGTTTAGGGCGTGTTTAGTGTTTAATGTTTGGGGGTTTAGGGTTTAGGGTTTGGTTGGGGGGTTCCAAACCCCAAGCCGAAAACCCAAAACCCTAAATCCTATAGTAGAAGCCAGAAAGTTGGAACGTGGGTTTGGGAGGATTAGTGCTAGGATCGCTTCGACTTTACCTTAAACAGCATGAGGATAGTGCTGTTCCAACTTTCTGGCTTCTACTTTAAACCTAAACCCCTAATCCCCCAAACCCCTAAACCCTAAACCCCAACCCCCCCCAAAACCCTAAAACCCCTAAACACCCTGAACCTCAAAAACCCTAAACCCTGTAGATCCCTTAAAGATCCCTAAACCCTAAACCCTAAACCCTAAACCGCTGATCGTTGGGATTTTGTGGCAAAGGCGCCTGTAGCCATGCTGGGGACTTCGGATTGGGTCCTCTAAAGGGTTTAGGGTTTAGGGTTTAGGTCCATACTTGGAGGCTCGGGGGACTTAGTAAGGGGTTTAGGGTTTAGGGTTTAAGTAGATATCAAGTAGAGTTATAAGTACCCTAAAAGGGATCCTAAATGGGGTTATGGTACTTATAAGTCTGTAAAATAACTAGCTACTAAGTCCCCCGACCCTCCAAGTAGTCTAGGGTTCCTTTAAGGGTTTCGGGTTTAGGGTTCCTTTAAGGGTTCCTTCAAGGGTTCTATAAGGATTCTAGGGTTTGGGGCATAAGGGCCCGTGTACCTAAAATAGTGTATAATTTTGGCTTTCAAGTCGTCCCTATTTGGGTTCTTTGGGACCAAAGTATCTACTACGTGGGTACGTGGACTCGTATAAGGGTGAGGTGATGCATCGAGCCTAAACCCTAAACCCTAAACCTCAGTGGCCTTTAACCGAGAGGCGCCTCAACCCTGGAATATCGAGAAGAAAACCTCAAAACAAAGTAAGGATCGCTCTGACTCAATAGTTCAAGGTATATATACTTTAATGTTGCAAGGTGTGCGAGTCTCTGGGAACTTATGTAAAAAGCTGTGAAGATTTTGCCAGAACGAAGCTTCTGGAACTACGGCTGAAGAAACAAATCCTGCATTGCCCATAATAACGGATATACCATAATTCCCATAGTGTAGGGTTCTTCAGATAGTGCATGATTTATATCATCAGCAGTAGTCAAACCCAAAGATACTTAAGGGTTTAGGGTTTGTAAACCTTCGTACTTTCAAGCGCTCTGTTTCAGAGCCTAAATGCTGGAAAGGTCTGGCCCAAAACCTGACTTGAAGGACCATGAGACTTAATAGCTCGGGTTATAACTACGTAAGGTGAGTATACTTACAACCAAAGATATCCTCCATTGAGGCGTAGCTATAACTTTGCTTACTATTCCCAGTGATCCTCTAAGTACGCCTAGGGTTTTGGGGTTTCGGGTGCACGAGGCTGAAACCCTGAGGGTCCTTGCCCTAAGGGTCCATGTACCCGAATAGTATATACTTTGGCCTGAATGTAGTCCCTATATAGGTACTCTAGGGCCAATGTATATACTATTTGGGCACATGGACCCTTGGGGTTGTAGCCCGATAGTAGGGTTTAGGGTTAGGCCTTAGAGTAGTCTCTAAAACGGTGAAACCATGATCACAATTGGACAACTGCTTGGGAAGAAGGTCTCGAAAGGCGAACCTCTAGGTCTTAAGCCAGCTGCGGTGTGCAAAAATGTCGGTTGCTGTGGAAGTCAGACTGCTCAGTGGTAAGAGAGCATCGGTGAGCGCCGGCTTGGATGAACAGGTGGAGCTATTGAAGCGTCGAGCACAGATCGCACTTCAAGTCGGAAAAGGACGCCTGCTGGACTCTTCTGGAACCGTCCTGGATGCACGTGTATCGATCGAAGATGCCTGCGTGAAGGATGGTGATACACTGACGTTGCACATCTCCAAAGCTCAAGTACTTGCTAGCCCACGCGTGTTTTTTGCCCTTCTTGGCGATGGATCTGTTGTGGCCTGGGGGGATGTTTCCTGGGATAGTGCTGTGCAGGACCAGCTGCAGAACGTGCAGCAGATCAAGTCCTGCGGCAGTGCATTTGCTGCCATTCTTGGTGATGGATCCGTGGTGACCTGGGGCTCTGCTGATTTGGGTGGTGACAGTCGTGCTGTTCAGGAGCAGCTGAAGAACGTGCAGCAGATCCAATCCTCCGCAGGCATTTTTGAGGGTGCGTTTGCTGCCATTCTTGGCGATGGCTCTGTCGTGACCTGGGGTCATGTTGCCGTTGGTGGTGATAGTAGTGCCGTACAGGATCAGCTGAAGGACGTGCAGCAGATCCAAGCGTCCAACGGTGCCTTTGCTGCCCTGCTTGGGGATGGATCGGTCGTGACCTGGGGTCTTCCTGCCGCTGGTGGTAACAGCAGCACTGCTCCTAGGTTACCCAGTAGTACCCTTTTGCCCCTTTTTTCTTTTTGGGTTCCCTTATTAAACCCAAATGGTAGGAAAAAGGAATCCTTATTATTAAGGGGCTACTGGGGAACCTAGGTTCAGGATCAGTTGAAGAATGTCCAGCGGATCCTAGCCACGGCCGACGCTTTTGCTGCTATTCTCGGCGACGGATCGGTCGTGACCTGGGGTAATGCCGAAGATGGTGGCGACAGTAGCTCTGTACAGGGCCAGTTGAAGAATGTCCAGCACGTCCAAGCCAATTATCGGTCTTTTGCTGCCCTTCTTGGGGATGGATCTGTCGTGACGTGGGGTCTCCCTAACATTGGTGGTAGCAGCAGCGGGGTTCAGGAGCAGCTGAAGAACGTCCAGCTGATCCAAGCATCTCGCTTCGCTTTTGCCGCCATTCTCGGCAACGGATCTGTTGTGACCTGGGGCGCTGCTGACTGTGGTGGTGACAGCAGTGCCGTGCAGGACCAGCTGAAGAATGTGCAGCAGATCCAAGCCACAGCATTCGCTTTTGCTGCCATTCTTGGTGATGGATCGGTCGTTACCTGGGGTGGCCTTCATCATGGTGGCGGCGTCAGTAGCGCTGTGCAGCATCAGCTGAAGAATGTGCAGCAGATCAAAGCCTCTGAAGGTGCTTTTGCTGCCATTCTCGGCGACGGATCGGTTGTGACCTGGGGTGCTGCTGACTGTGGTGGTGACAGTAGTGCAGTGCAGGAGCAATTGAAGAATGCCTAGCCGATCTGCGTCTACTGCCCGGCTGGCAGCACCTGACATCTCCGACAGCCGCACTGCAGAAACTAAAGTGCACATAACCTAATTCGCCAAGTTAGTATTGTCTGCTCTGAAGCCTGAAAGGGGTTACTATAGTCCTAAACCCTAAGCGTTTATTAAGCCCTAAACCCGAATAGGGATCTATACCCAAAGGCTCCATGTAGATTTATAGTAGATACTTAAGCCCTAAAGTACCGATATAGGGACCCCTTTAAGGCTTAAGTAACTACTATAAAGGTACATGGAGCCTTTGGGTATAGAGGCACTTTACAGCCGAAGTATCTGCTATATAGGTACATGGAGCCTAACCCAGACCACCGGAAGGATCCAAAAAATAGATCTCCTAAGGGGGTTCTTTTAAAGTAGCCCACCCTGAACCCTAAACCCTAAACCCTAAACCCTAAACCCTAACTTTAATAGTAGTATAGGATCCCAAATTAGGGGATCCGGGGGTCTGGGTAGGGCTAAACATCCAGTCTTGAACCCCCGAGCCCTCTAAAGTTCCTTAGGGTTTAGGGGTTCAGGTGTTTAGGGGTTTAGGGTTTAGGGTTTAGGGTTTAGGGGTTCAGGGGTTTGGGTTTAGGGTTTAGGGGTTTAGGTGTTTAGGGTTTAGTTTGGTCTAAATCGCCTCTACCTATAGACTCCGTTGTAGTTCCTTTTGAGGATTACCTCAGAGGACGCTTAAGGTATACATAAGCCCCAGAAAGGAACTACAATGGATACTATAGGTACAATCCTTCTACAACCCGTATAAGCCCGCTTTTCAAACTACACAATCCGGAACCCTAAACCCCAGCAAAATATGAAATCACAAATTCCTGTTGTATGCCTTACCCTGACCCTCAGGGTCCAAGTACTTAACAACTATTCTTCCAAATACTGACCGACAAAACTACAAGTACTTACAACCCGTAACCCTGTGGTGCTTTGGACCCTGTGGGTGAATCTCCATGCACCTACATGGGGGTTTCCGAAAATAAGGGTGCCTTATTTTGGGGTCCTTATAATAAGGATCCTACTATTTAGGGTACTATAGTAGGGTCCCCTCTTTTCGGAAACCCCCACATGGTACACAGGCACCAACCAGTCCGGCTCCGTTGGGTTTGGGTTTAGGGTTCAGGGTGTAGGGTTTAGGGTTCCCTACACACAAAAAGCTAAGTCCCTAAACCTTAGCATCTAAACCCTATTTGTGGAATCCTACACATAGCCCTATTTAAAAAAAACCACTAGCTCCTATCTGCATCGCCAGGCACCGAACTGTCTCAATGCGTTCGAGATGCAGGACGCACTAAGAGTGGCTAGTAGTACTTGGGAGTTTCGGGGCTTGCGATGTTTGGCGTTTATAGTTTAAGGGTTTAGGATTTAGGGTTGAGGGTTCAAGCTTGGGATCTGGGAGTCATGTCTGGATCCTTAGCTACGATTTCTTCACGTGTGTTGACTGCCTATGGGTTTAGGGTTTAGGGTTGTGCTGCTTCAACTGTTCAGAAATTAAACCCTAAACCCCTAAACCCTAAACCCTAAACCGAAATAAAGATGTCCGAACTCTCGAGGCACTGTGAGGCTTTGCCGTTCAGCCGTTTAGGGTTTAGGGTGTAGGCTTTAGGGTCCCTAGGCTAACAAGTGCGTAAGGGTTGAATAGCTTGATTAAACGACACGGGTACTTCTCTAAATTGGGATCCTTTTCTAGATCCCCAATATAGCACGGCACCCCTATGAAAAGGACCCCAGAAAAAACTCAATGTAGAGAATTACCCACACATTGCTTAACCCTGATAAAGAGTCCTAAGCGCGACAAGGTTTTGACAGGGTTTAGGTCGGTGGCCGCAGGATTGTTGTCTGTATGGTCTGCACGTCAGGGGCAGGTTCGGTTGTCTCTGGTATATTAAACAAGTGTTGAAATATTCATGCAAAGGCTTCCCCCCTCCCGCCCACCCGCGCAGGGTCCAAAATATTGTTGTACAAAGTTATACCAGACCGCAAAACCCGAGTCCAATCGTTGAGGCTTCTTCGTTAAATGTTTAAACATCTTCATAAAAAGCACAAACTATACATCCGTTGTAAACCATTTCTCAGGTCCCTAGATATTTGTTCGCAGGCTTCCTGCCCACGTCCCCGGTAGGGACGGGCATGGAAATATGAAGCTGAGTATTGACATGAGATGCAATCATCTGATGATAGTGTGATGTTGGAAGAGGCCTATGATAGACCCTAAACCCATCTGAACCCTAAACCCTCAAGCCTAAGCCGTCCCTAAACCCTAAAACCTTCAACCCTAAAAAAATCCCTAAACCGGGGCTCTGCTGCAGTTTGATTCCAGGACGCTGGATTCGGATTCAAGGTGTGGGGTTGGTGGAACAGCACGTTTATATAAGTAAAAACCGTCTAAACCAAGTGGACGCGTGAGCTTCCGAAGTTGCTGAGGGAGGGATCCTTGCTTGCCCAGCCCGCTATGCAAACAACTGCATTCAAAGCCAGGGGCCGATTCAACGCTTGAAGACTTGAAGATTTTGTAGCAACTCCTGAGTCGGAACTGTAAAGAATGCTGCATGTAGCAACCATCGGAAACCAGTGAGACAGTGAAGCTTAACTATCGAAGGCACCACGTCGGAACCTGTCAGACGAAACAGAGACCCAAGAATCCTTCTTCCGAGCTTTCGCTGAGGGTGGCGATTACAGGGTTGAAAGTGTGGAACGTACTGGTGGTCATGCAGGCAAACCCAAAGACTGAATCCAATTGATTCTCCAGTAACCAGAGGATCCATATGGGTGGTTGTCAAAATTAGGGTCCCTTTTTGGGTCCTTATAATAATACGGCACCTATTATTTAGGGTACCCCAAAAGGGACCATAATTTTGACAACTACCCATGTATGTACACTACCATTGCTTGGAGGGTCGGGGGACTTAGTAAAGGGTTATTTTATAGACTTATAAGTACTATAACCCCAATCCGGGTCCCTTTTAGGATACTTATAAGTCTACTTGAAATCTACTTAAACCCTAAACCCTAAACCACTTACTAAGCCTCCCGACCCTCCAAGTATGCAATTAGGCCCCAAAAGACCATCCTTATTCGGGCTTGGGGGACCTAATTTCATAATAGTAGCATATATGGACCCCTTGATTACGACAAACCCTAAACCCTAAACCCTAAACCCTAACCCCTAAGCCCTAAGCCCTAAGCCCTAAGCCCTAAACCCTAAACCCTAAACCCAAACCTCTAAGCCCTAAACCCTTATCCTTAACCCCTAACCCCTCCCTAACCCAAACCCCCAAACCCTCAACCCTAAGCCCTAAACCCTAAACCCAAACCTCTAAGCCTTAAACCCTTATCCTTAACCCCTAACCCCTAATCCCTAAACCCCAACCCCCAAACCCTAAACGCTAAGCCCTACGCCCTAAACCGTAAACCCTAAGCCCTAAACCCTAAACATCTCTATCATGTGCTAGTCTAAACTTTCATGACCTTCGTGGTTCAAGGCATATCGTTTGTGGTTCAAGGCAAATCGTTCCTGGTTCAAGGCAAATCGTTCGTGGTTCAA